ACCATTAAACACATGTGTACATAAGCCACATTCATATRTACATACATATACACACAATAATCTATAAGTTAATATTGCTGATTGAACATATTTACGTTTTTACCAACAAATCGTACGAAAATACCCGTATTGAGTAGAGCACTTAAACGGAGCGGATTTGACCTTGGAAGAACACCTGTCAGGAGACGTAAAACTTTCAATTCTTAATCAATTCCTGGGAATCGAACAATATGGTTTAAGTTRAAGGCATTTCAGAAAGTCGTCGGATTCAAAGGACATTTGTTTAGAAACAACAAGCACATTAATTCAAATAAAGTTGATAATTTATATCAGAATCTAAAACTAACATATCTATACTTTTAATATATACTCTTAAATAGTCAAATAATAGTTATTTAATTTAATACSGATTTAGTGCGAGTYTTCTTAGCGGAGCTATGTTCCGGTTATATTCAATCACATCTTAATGTACTCAGCTGAGATACGTCTGCTTAGCCTTTTGCCTATGGAGCCTCTCTCAGGTTTATGCAAAAATATTGTATGTTTAATAAATTTCATGAAAAATAAGGTCCTAAATGGATTAAAATAATTTCACGAAGAAATTGAAATTACAACGGTACTACAAATTCTAAATCTTCTGTGAATTTTACGATTACATCTGCTTTACTGKTATAATATTGTATGTATTTCCTTCAAAAGGTGTGTTCTCTATTACACAAAGCTGTAGTATAAATATGTATATGTACGAGTATACGTAGATAAAATAAAACAAAGTCGGACTTTCTTGGGGGAAAACTCTTTTAACCTAGGATTCGTATTTCCGAAACTATTAAAAAACATGGTCCCTTAGCACAATTTTTTTTTAACTTTGGAATCTGTTTCTACTTTTTACAAAACGAATTTTCGAGAAGCACGCAAAGTGCTTCCACGACTAAGGGTGAACAAGATAGATCAGTAACTAACACACGAATATCACAGCGCATATTTGGAGAGTAAAATAAGATTATTTGTTTAATAAAAGTTCTTATTTGGGATACATAAAAGTTTTATTATATTTACAAACAGCAAATTGTAAGATTGCTCCACAACACAAYACAAGGAAGTTCCATAACAAATGTAATTGTATCATGCGTGGAGGTATCTGTTGTCTATGTCGAGATAAAATCACTAGATAAGCCTTTTAGAACCAAATTCATATCAAGCTTATATCACAATACATAGGTGTGTATTATATATATGTACATCATATGTGAAAGTAATATCATGAATCATGCCCACGAACATGGCAGAGCCACTGAAGTTYGCCGTAATTAGCGTTTCAATCGGACAAATGTCTGCAAAATTCGTTACCTTGTTGGCTTTTGTTTATGGCTGCGTGAAAGTTTAATTTTAATTGATTAGAACCAATGCTTGATTTTTCTGTGGCTTTCGGAAGTACATAATTTAGCTGCGTAAAACGTAGTTCAAGTGTATAGGTGTATATATTCATGTATATATATTTATATCATGAATTTAAAACTCATGCGCATTGTTTTTTATAAAGAAGTCAAAGTAAAGCGTTTAGAAAAGATCGCAAAAGATCGCAAAAGTTCGGCTTGGTGGTGGAAWGTATGACATCATTTTCGGCTGAATGAGTGTGTGCAGAAAGAGTTTGTATGATACATAGTATGTGCCGCGAAATATGCGTACACTCATTTCCACGTACTAGTACTTATGAGGATCCACTCTTTCTAAAAGTGCTSTGGGCATATTATCTAAAAATTCTTGTCAAAATCCAATAGCGATTTTTAACCACTTAGCCTCACTTATTGGTAAGTTGTTGATCAAGGGGCTTTCGTTAATGCGGTCGCACATCGGTGGCTACTGCAAATTTCTAAGTGCATAAAAAGATAYAGTCATACATACGCGGCTTAAAACTTGTTGTAACCACGAGATTAAATTAATCGAACATTTTTGCGTATTTGTTCAGATAGATCAATAGCAACTATAAAATATTCCAACGCTTGTTTCCGTTGCTTTCAGAACTGCTTACATAAGTACATACATATAACTTTGTTCATATCAGCACTTTGGCTATAATTGCGAAAAAAATTTTATTATTATTACTTTAGCCCCACAGTTCCCATAACCTCACATTAGAGTATTATTACATTTACCTTTCTGAAAGCTCCGTTTCAATAGCACTTAAAAGCACCATTTGTTACCCGGCCATTGGGGATACCTTTTAATTAAGATTAAAAGATCTGCGCCGCCGACCCGATAGCTAAATATCTGGGAATATTTGGAGCCTGCATATGCTTTCGTTGAAATTCTACCACTATGTAGACGCACTTGTGCAAAAATAAATATATACTCATATGTATGCTCATAAATATATTATGTATATGCAACGTGTTCATGTGTGTTCATTTTAATTCTTGGGCATCATCAACTTATTAACCGCGCATCATTAAGTATTTACACAGTATGACAATATTTTGTAGACGTAACTTTTTTTGAATCACAACTGGCGGTTGATAATAGTATCAAATATTGTGTGCTTGTATGAACTTTACATATCTATGTTAATTGCTGCGTTGCACCACTACGATTTTTATATAAAAACTTACAATAATTAATATGTACATGTATGCACAAAATTGCACTTGCGTTCGGTTCCAACAAAATCATTAATTCGTAATACTTGTGTGGTTATTTTGTGTATTTTTCTTCTATATTAATATGTATATCGCTTTTGCATTTACTTCACTTCACAACCCTATACTTGTAAGTTCGTGTGCATGTATGTATGTATTTAGGTACAATATTTTGAGGTCGATGTCGCGTTTTGGTTTAGTTGTTGACAAATGCCAAAAAATAAAAATAATAATAATTAAGAAATTAACCGACGAACATTAAACAACGAATAAAATCACACTCGATTCCACGACACATCCAACCTCTTTGAGACTTCCGCGGCAACTGAAACTACTTTCAATTCGTAACAATGAGTAAAAACATAAAGTAAATGCAAAATATTGTGTACATAACTGCGTTAGCATGTTTGTGTATATTAAAACCTATTGTACAAAAGCAACAAATAAGCAAATACATAAAGACAAAACCACCACTAAGCGATTGTAGAAAACAATAAAGGTAACTCATGCAGTTCAACATGCGACACATAGAGGGTGCCAAAACAGCTGCTCGAACTTTTCTCGKAAATGTGCAACCGGATACTGAAATTTACGACGCGACTTCCCAAAACTCGGAATKTTTCTCTCAGCGAATAATCTTATATACATATATAACATTTGTTGGTAAGCTGCGGTATTAGTATTATAAATATCTAGCATTAGCCGATTTTGTTCCTTAGATATCCTAATCAAGGGYCTTTCATATTGTCACAAATTGGTTCATGAAATCATGTTTCATAYCAAGAATGCTTTACCCTGTATTCTAAAGCTAAGGTACTTAGAGAATCACTTCGTTGACGGGGAGTTGTATTACAAGTTAACTAAACGCAACGATAAAAGCGATAGCGAGTGCTCGTACATAGAACATGAATGTGTATTTGTGTATGCAGTCGGAAAGCCACTGTTGCGTTTGGAGGCGGACGAAGTGTGTCGCGTGTGTGATGATGCGAGAACCAACATGAGCATGCTACTTGCCGAGGACGCGAGTGCACGAGTACTCGCCACATGATTCTCAGCATAGCAATCGGTGTTGTGATTGGAAGTGATTTTCCCGTAACAAATGATTTTGTTCCTTTACTTGGAGGTGACCGTTATATGATACGTACGTACAATTTAATGTGTCATGGGAGTTGGGTTTGATTTACATTATTTATGTGAACCTTGTTTAATTAATCATTTAAACCTAATATACCTAATGTGCTAGCATGTGAATCTATAATCAAAAYAAACTTTTAAATATGCGAAAACTTCAAGAAGGAAGTTTGTATTTTTGATACCGTTAAGTCTACGATCAGATGTTATACCCTTATATGTACATACATACATATGTTTGTAATAATAGTGATCGCCACCTTTATCCTTTACCAGAATAKTGATCACCATTATTTATGTATAAGTATCTATCGAAATCGGGAGTATAATGTTTGCAGGTTGGGTGTTACTTAAAATTAATTTTATTAGGGCGAAAAGCTCAAAAGGATCACATTTTGGATTAATCTTATTACAGTATGAATTCAATTAAATGAAGGTAGGTATGTCCAAACCACAGTCGAAACATATGTATGTATATACTGAGGTATGCTCCGTTGGCATCCCATGGCATCCGTAAATACGAACATGTGTACATACCAACGAATAGGGATAGCTAATACAATATGTGATCTACGTTTTTATGATATCCTGTAAATGGATAATCTAATTCATTAAACTTTAATTTTTATCGTCGAATAACTGATTTCTTTTAATTTTGAGTGGAGTATTTCYTAATAGACACGCAATCAAATCTGGCTATTGAGTGTGTGGAGTAAAAGTAGTTTAAAATAAATAATAAAACAAACGGGGTGAGCTAAATAAAAACATTTAATTAAAAACATTTTTGCTAGCAATCTTAATGTTCTATGTGAGTGTAGGGACAATGCTCTAAGAAGTAAAGTAAGTAAAATAAACTAATTGACTTATAAATGCTTTCAATTTATTTAATGGAAATATATTTTAAACATTAACGTTTTTAATTTGTGTGTTTTCAACATAGTAATTGAAAATCAGCACGCAACTCGCTGATAATACGAGTACAAATCTCAGCCAACTAGTAATGTAATAACTGTAAAAAGATGTGAACATCGATAGTAAATRAAGGTGTGGTATTAAAGGTTAAAGTGTCAAACTTAATTTTTTTTAAAGCAAATATTTCTTCGTAAGAAATTAAAAGCTTTTGCATTCAGTTTTCACACTTAAAAATAAATAATATAAATACAAATTCAATATTTTTATCGAAACTTTTAGATATACATATCAAATTAAATTATGAGTATAAAATTACTGGGTTTCAAAGTGATGAATGTGACTTAAATTTATTATGAAATGCAATTCATTATAAAATAATAGAGATATTTCGAATATTTGATATATATCTATATGATTTTCAATTTATGTATTAATGTACATAAGCATTTTCAGTTACTTTTGTAATATTGAAAAACTAATACTATAAATTGCGTGTTATATGTAATCTACAAATCATTACCATCGACATTACTCGGMTTTAATTCTTTCAATTCAGCTTCAAAAACTAAATTACAAATTTTCCTCTTAAGATGCACTTGTAGGTGAAGTGGAAGCTTCTTAACCGTTTTAGCCATACTTAAAAAAAATAAATCCATATCATCATATCCATTTGTTTCCACCACAATGGATCGGTTTGTGTTTTGTACCTTTGAAGAGTAATTATCCCATACTGGACTTTTTGTGGATTTTAAATTTTTTCTCACTGATATAGAATAGTTATTCGATTCCGCCACATCCCCACCATTATGGCCAACATTTTTTTCTACACTGTTATCGCTCTCACTTAGAGTATCGAAATTGTTATCATTGCAGGAGGTTTTGGAATCTCTGCGTGTATTGTGGTTCTTCTCAGGCGTCAATAGTCGCTTGCCGTGATCAAATTTAATTTTTTTGGCTGGAATAAAAAAAAAATTGGACTTCATTAGATAAATTTCATTAATATTATATAAAACATTTTTTTAATTTTTTGAAGCCAAACGAAGCCCTCTGATTTTCTTGCTAGTTCTATTTGACATACCGTTAGAGTGGTCAATGTCCAAGGAGTTGCGGCGGTCATTTTCATACTCAGTTATTAACGAATGCATTTCGTCATAATGTTCCCAAAGCGATGGTATTCCTGTAGTTCTGACTTCAATACGTTCCCTTCTACAATGATAAATATATCCTTCCATTTAGAAAATTAGTAAAGAAGTGTATACGTATATACATATGTAAGTGTTTAAAAAGTTACCGGTACTTCGAAGTCATATTGTGCATCTTTGTCTTCATTTCTATTAAGCTGTATTTAAAACCTTGCAATTCCATTTCCACAACAATCTCCATCAAAATGTGACTGTTTTTCTTGCAAGCGCGCAGTTCGTCCAAGTTGTCCCTCCATAACTGAAGGAATAACCTCTCGCTATCTTCCGTCCATCTATTGCGCCGCTTAATACCTTAAAACAGTATATGTAGTATAATTTTACAAATACCATAATTTGTTGTAATTACTATACTCACTGGTCTTTATTTCCTCTTCATCATCTTTATACAACTTGCAATAAACCGACTTTGAAGACATGTTGCCTACAGCAATTGGATCAATTCCAATACACTTTAATTACATTTAAAGTAATTTAATCAGAAATCGTTGATTTATGCATTTGTATGAACGCGTTCTAAACTTGTTTTATTAACTTTTCAGAAAAGAGCAGAGAACGATAGTTCTTCGATAATAGTTATTGATATGTGACGATATCGATAATATAGAAGAGGATGACTGCTACTATTTGAAAACAGCCAATTGTATTTCCCTCAACAATGGGCTATACTTAAATAGAATGGATCCGGAATTTATTAAGACTAATTTAAGGCCAATTTGGCAAAATTTTGAAAAAAATATTGAAGCACTTCAACTGCTCCTCATCCTCAGAATATTTTTCTTTTGTGGTGGAGGGAATTCGCCCAAAATCAAGAATTTTATTTCTATTTTAATCACACAGTTTTTCAAACCTCATCGATTTAAGAAACAAAATCTTATAGCTTGAGCACGCCGGCTGAACGTCATTCGCAACAAATTTTATCAAGATACATAGAAAAATATTGCCAGAAATCGTTTTGTCCGGGGAAAATAAAGTGGTCTTATTCAACTGTCAGTTTATTAAGCATTTCATTTGACGTTCAATTTCTTGAAGTAATCTGGCAGGCCTGTATGTAAGGTAAGAAAATGTGGGGGAATTTGTTGTACCGCCTGGTTTTACTTTTTGTGAAGTAATAGAGATAAAAAATCGACTGCATAGCGCAGATAATTTAAGCTTTGCGAACAAATATAACGCAAATTATATCTGCAAAAAAAATTGAATTCAATAAGATTGAAGTATAAATCATAGCTATTGACCTGAGAACTTCATATGAAAAATTAGTCGTCAGCAGATAGGGAGAAATACGATTGGAAACAAAAGGTATATTCCGCGTAAAAGAAAATCAGAAAATAAGCGAACGGAACAAAGCAAAACGTGACAACGACGAAATAGCAACCGTTTTGAACGTCGACTTCGTCACAACAACAAAGATTTCGTAGGTCATCTTGAAGAAAACGAGGGAGAAGGTGACAGAAAGTTTTTCGATTGYATTAGTTGGTAAGAACAACGACGTGGTTTGTATTTTGCGCAAGAGGAATAACCAAACCAAACACACAACCAAGGAAAAAGGAGAACTAACCACAAAGCAATAAAGAGAATTGTGAAGTAGTCATCAACGCGTTTAATTATTCCGCTACTGCAATGAGTGTAGACGCGTATGGGCCTAGTTCGCAGACTTTGACATTTTTGGATACAGAGGAGAATGACTTGATTGGCGCTGATACGCAGGCATCAGAATTTGATTTTCGCGACTTCACGCTTCCTTCTCAATCTCAAACACAAGCCTCCCAATTGGAGTGCATTGGTGGTAATGCAACACAGGTAAATATTTAATGCTATTCAATTACATATAGATGCAAACATGTTCTTTTAATATCTGTCCAGAGCAAATTGAATGTACTAACAAACAATTTGGCCGAGTTGCAATTTGAAGAGGAGGATGACGATACATCTATATTAGCGGTGAAAGAACTTCCTAATCATGCCTGCAAATATTGTGGCATTCACGACCCTGGCACAGTAGTTATGTGTAATAACTGTAAAAAATGGTTTTGCAATGGAAGGGGTAGCACATCCGGATCGCATATAGTTAATCATTTGGTGCGAGCCAAGCATCGAGAAGTGACTCTTCATTCCGAAGGTCCTCTTGGGGAAACTGTACTCGAGTGTTATTCATGTGGTGTTCGTAATGTTTTTGTTTTAGGATTTATCCCTGCTAAAGCGGATTCAGTAGTGGTGCTATTGTGTCGGTAAGTTGAAGATTCTAAGCAGATGCAATAGTTTCAATACAATTTCTTTACATTTTCGTTTTTTTTTGCAGTCAACCATGTGCTGCACAAAATTCTTTGAAAGATATGAATTGGGATCAAGATCAATGGAAACCTTTGATAACCGATCGATCTTTTTTACCATGGTTAGTAAAGGTACCCACCGAGCAAGAGCAATTACGCGCTCGTCAGATATCTGCTGCTCAGATAAATAAATTGGAAGAATTGTGGAAAGAGAATATTGATGCAACGTTTCAAGATCTTGAGAAACCCGGAATTGATACGGAACCATCTCAAGTGCTTCTTCGATATGAAGATGGCTACCAATATGAAAAAGTTTTCGGACCTTTGGTACGATTAGAAGCGGAATATGATAAGAAATTGAAAGAATCCCAAACACAAGAGGGCATAGAAGTACGTTGGGATGTTGGCTTGAACAAAAAAACCATCGCCTATTTTACCTTGGCGAAAACTGATTCTGATATGAAACTAATGCATGGTGATGAATTAAGATTGCGTTATGTTGGAGAGCTTCATAAGGCATGGAGCGAAATCGGTCACGTTATAAAAGTGCCTGACAATTATGGCGAGGATGTCGGATTGGAGCTAAAATCCTCAGCAGGTGCACCAGTTAAGTGTACCTCTAACTTTGCAGTTGATTTTATTTGGAAATGCACTTCATTTGATCGAATGACACGCGCCCTTAAAGTATTTGCTATGGATCGCAGTTCAGTGTCTAATTACATATATGCTCGTCTTCTTGGACATGGCAGACATGATGGCAGTGATGAACTCTTATTTCGCGGTCCCATCCCAAAACTTTTTAGTGCCCCGAATTTACCGGATTTGAATCGTTCCCAAGTATATGCTGTAAAACACGCACTGCAACGACCATTAAGTTTAATTCAAGGTAAATAAAATTAGTTTTTCATATTTATATTTAAAAAAATRACACTTTTATTCTCCTCAGGTCCACCGGGTACTGGAAAAACCGTCACCTCGGCCACAATAGTATATCAATTAGTGAAACAGCATGGAGGAACCGTACTCGTATGTGCACCGAGCAACACAGCAGTAGACCAACTTACGGAAAAAATTCACCGCACAAATTTGAAAGTAGTTCGCCTCTGTGCCAAATCTCGAGAAGCAATCGATAGTCCTGTCAGCTTCCTAGCTTTACATAATCAAATTCGTAATATGGAAACCAATATAGAGTTGAAGAAGTTGCAACAACTCAAAGATGAGACCGGTGAATTGAGCTCTGCTGATGAAAAACGATACCGTACCCTGAAACGAGCCGCTGAGCATCAATTACTCGAAGCTGCTGATGTTATTTGTTGTACCTGCGTAAGCGCCGGTGACGTGCGTCTAGCACGTATAAAATTCACTTCTATCCTCATAGATGAATCCATGCAGTCGACTGAGCCAGAATGCATGGTACCAGTTGTTTTGGGAGCGAAACAGTTGATACTTGTTGGAGATCACTGCCAGTTGGGACCAGTTGTAATGTGCAAGAAAGCAGCCAGAGCTGGTCTGTCGCAGAGCTTGTTCGAACGTCTAGTAGTTCTGGGTATCCGCCCTTTTCGACTGGAAGTCCAGTATCGAATGCATCCAGAATTGTCGCAATTCCCCTCAAACTTCTTTTATGAAGGCTCACTGCAGAACGGTGTTTGTGCTGAAGATCGCAAACTAAAAATTGACTTTCCATGGCCACAACCTGATAGGCCAATGTTTTTCCTTGTTACCCAAGGTCAAGAAGAAATTGCTGGCTCTGGAACATCTTATCTAAATCGTACTGAAGCAGCAAATGTGGAAAAAATAACTACAAGATTTCTTAAGGCTGGCGTCAAGCCAGAGCAAATTGGTATAATTACCCCATACGAGGGCCAACGAGCTTACTTAGTTCAATACATGCAATATCAAGGGAGCTTGCACTCCAGACTATATCAGGAAATTGAGATTGCTAGTGTGGACGCTTTCCAGGGCAGAGAGAAAGATATTATAATAATGTCATGTGTGCGATCTAATGAGCGTCAAGGTAAGTAGATCAGAAAAGTGGTAAATATTTTTTTATTATATCTTCAAATATCTTAACTTCGAACATAGGTATCGGTTTCCTCAATGATCCCCGGCGTTTGAATGTCGCGTTAACTCGCTCAAAATATGGCACTATCATTGTGGGCAATCCTAAAGTTTTGTCCAAGCAACCGCTTTGGAATCATTTACTTAATTTCTACAAAGATCGCAAAGTCTTGGTCGAGGGCTCATTGAACAATCTAAAGGAGTCCCTAATACAATTTCAAAAACCCAAAAAGATTGTCAATACCCTAAATATGGGCGCCCACTTTATGACCACAATGATGGCTGATGCTAAGGAAGCCATGATTCCCGGCTCCATCTACGATCGATCCGGGCAGTATGGTTATTCATCGGGGCCTATTAACGCGTCAAACTATGGTAGTAGTGGTCTAGGATTAGGATTGGGTTATGGCGGTAGCAATAACTTAGGATACGGAAGCGGCGCAGGAGCTGCACAAATGCAAGCAGCTGCAGCTCAGAATTTGAACAATTTTATGAGCGGCAATTTTGGCGCTATCGGAGCCCGACCCAGCGGTCCAAGTGGAACGGCAAATCAAGCAGCTGCTAATGCGCACCAATGGAACCATCACCACGATTCCATCAGCTACATTTCACCAGAACGAGCCCAAGCAGCAATGAACAACATGCCAGTGCCGGTTGGAATGTTCATGAACATGAGTAACATTCCGCCGCGCTTCTACAACCAACACCAACAGGCAATACAGGCCGCTGCGAAACAAGGCCGCCGAACTGGTGCCGGCCTGGGAGCTACTGGTATTGCTGTAAACAACAACGGCAGCGGCAATGGAGTCAGCAAACTATTTAATAATTTAAATTCTTCTCTCATTGGTGTTGCTAATAAAAGTCAAAATGTTAAAAGTCGTAACAGCATGCAAGCTCCTAATACTACACCGTCAACATCAACTAGCGCCACCGATATCGCTAGTGTTCTCATTGGGGCTGGYTCTACCGCGTCCCAGAACAATGCCCTGCCGCTCACCCAACAGAACATGTCACAACAGATGAGCCAACCGGGGGGCTTTACATTGTCACAACAGCCCGAGCTGTCRCAGGATTTTGGTCAAATTTCGCAAATAGATAGCATTCTTTCCCAAGATGTAAATTTTACCGCGGTAAGCTTGAAAATTTTAATATGATCCCGTTACTCAAACATTACCATTAACGGATTTTTTTGTTGCAGGGCAATCTCACCACTGATAGGATGAAATTCGGCCTGAATAGTCAGAGTCAATTCTCGCAGCCTTATTGATATAACGGTTGATTCCAACTACAAAAGCAAAAGCAGCAGCAGTCAGTTAAACCAACAATTCATATCAAACAAATACAAACTTTTTGATGTAACGAAAGAGAACAAAGAAGACAAGAAGCGTGCACACAAAACACTGCAGAAACAGCAGCCACAGATCTCTGATCGCATAGATAGAATCGAACTGAAGCGGAATTACGAGGTATAAAAAGAGAAGATTCCGTTTAAGCTACCCAAATCACAAAAGGATGCAATTTCAATCAGCGAATCAGTGATCGCATAAAAATGCGACTTCACAGCCACAGAGACAGAGTAGTATGTGTGCCACCTGTGCAAACGTGTGCTTAAATGGGTTAATTACGAGTAGGAGAATTTGGAAGCGACGACAAGCAGAAAACAAAATACAAACACAACAATCCACAATGCGATTTTATGAGAGCCAAAAGAACGTCGCACATACAATAGGGATTGAAGCATGAGTGAGCCAACGAAACAAAAAATTATTATTTTTAAATTGAGGTGAATGAAAGCTGAAGGCCTTTCATCGTACATACTTTATTTTCTTATATCACGACGAGCAGAACCAAAAAAGAAATGAAGCGAAAGAAATTAGCGGACACTCGATGTATTCCCAAAAAACTGAATATTGTTGAATAGAGTTTACGAGCATGGTTCATACGCTTTAGCGCCTCGAGGGCAATTACCGAGCCAATTGGCGGAAGTGTTCGATCGATACTTTTTATGGGACTCTCTTTGTATAGTGCTCCTCCATCAAAACTTCTACAAGATGATGTGTTTTTTTTTAGGAACAACGCTCTTCCTTTCAGTCCGGTGGAAATTCTTCAATGATGTCTGTGTGTATTGTGCTGAAGCATAGCGGGCTGTATTCCCCAGTTCTATTGCTCTTTGATTTTCCCCGCATAAATATATTCTAACTTTTAAATTTTGTGATTACGTTCATTTTCTGACAAGTGATTTCTAAATTAGCGACTAAATTTCACAAAAAC